AAAACATGGATGACAGACAAGATACGAACTAGTACAAAAGAGATAGCCCAAGAAAAAAGGGGGCTACAGTAAACAAATAGAAAAACAACTTTCACTTTGTGGTTGAAACAACAAAACGAGGTGAAAATTAAATGAAAGAGATGCAGGGAACAAAAAGTATGTGACATTGTGAAATTATAAATCAAATGCAAAAGACATGGAATGAAATGGAAGCAGTACACAAAATACTAATAGAAAAATGGAACGAAAAATTATTTTGTAGTATTTCATTTTTTGATTGAAGACCAAAATGCTCGGCGCTTTTATTTCATTTCGTTTATATTTTCCGTACACAATTGGAAGAGGCGTTTTGAATTTTCCAGATCGTCAGGCCTTGACGCTCATTGCCGACTATGGAGAATGGATTACTGGACATCGAAAATCAAATTTGAATCAGGGAATGGAACTGGGTATTGGTTTCGGGAATGGAAAGTCAACATGCTGGATCTGCTCGCCTCCTCTTTGAATATTATCCCATAATATACATTATTTATTTATTTCCGATCACCCTACCGCCGATTTTTTTTTTTTTTTTATCAAAAATGTGCATGGTATGCTCAAATCCAACAGGTGCGTGGTCTTGAGTGGGGAAGCCCGCCTTATCACGACATTTGTGTCTCCTCGCAAAGAGGGACACATAACCATTTCCCACGTCTCGACCCCTTCCACTGAAAATCAACGCAATTGCAAGCGATAAGATTGATTTGAATTGATGGGAAAGTTTTCATTGAGGGCGTGAGTTTGATTGAATATCAAATGTAGTATAGTTACAATGGCCAACTAAAATCCTTTTTTAATAATTTGAAAAAAACCAAATCGTATATAGGAAAATAAATACTATTACATATAATAAAAGTACTTTCGCATTTGCCGTAAAAACATTTATTTATCATTTAGATCATTAAAAGAACTGCGCTTTATCAAGAAAGTGATCTTGAAATTAAGATTTATTATTTTTTGTCAAATACATTTTTGCTTCTGTTGATTATTAATGATTTTTAACTTTTTAAAGATAGTTTCTTTTTACAATGAAACTTCTTTAATACTGTTGGATAAACTTTAAACACAATAAAACTAAACAACTTGAAAATCATTTAATAAATTCTGATTTAACAAATAGTAGCTATATTTACTTTTGATTATTTGTTTAATGTATTAAATTTGTTAGTTGTTTTTAAGGCGGAGTTAACTTTTAGAAACTGAAAATAAATCCAGATAATGCCAACCAGATGATGATTACCTCCCTCCCTCTCTCTCTCTCTCTCTCTCTCACTCTCTCTCTCTCTCTGATTATATTTGTACTCTCAACTGTGCATATGCCGGGAAATTCCCGCAATTACAACAAAACGCCACATAAACAAAGGCACAAAACGAAACAGAAACAATAACATACACATAGAAAAAAGAACTGAATTAATAAACGAAAAAAACATTTCAAATTTACACGTACTAAAAATTATTTTAATAAGTGCATAATGTAAACATGAGTTCAACAAATGTATTAAATTATCAAAAATAAGTAATCATACCACATCCACTTCTTTCAGTGCACAACAAGTGCAAAACAAAAAGTGTTGAACTTGTTTTTCATACGAAAATTAAACCAAAGAAACAACAACAAACAGTGACCGCTTATTATTATTGATAGTGGTAGAAAATCTAAAAGCACACATAGAAAATCAATATTTGCACTTTGCGATTAGAAGCATCAGTGTGTGTTGCGGTGGGTGGTAAAGTGTGTGAGGGTGGTGTGTGGGGGATGTACCCGAACGTTTCGTTTACATATTTCGAAAAGAATTAAGGCCATTTCGAGGGAGTTTTGGTCGTTATCAATAGGCGGAAATACGTATACGTATATGGCATCATACAGTTACGTGCAGTCTTGCACAGACACACACGCATACTCACCTATGCAGGGCGAGTGCAGAAAGAGACACGTACTGACTATGTTAACGGCACAAGATAAAAACCTGCTACAGCCAGTGTGGGAGTGAGCGAGAGGGAGGGACAGAGCGCGAGAGAGAGAGCAAAAAACAGGTGACATTGGCAGCTACGCAATAGTAGATAAAAAATAAAAAGATCGATTTAAAAAGTAAAATGTTGGGAAACTTTGAAAAAGCCCACCCCTTGAATATCGCATTCACAACTTGTTGCCCGTGTTTAAAAGTGTTTACTTATTATTGCTTTTATTTGTTGCACTACCTCACAATGATCTATTCAAGTATGCTTGTGTGCGAGTTGTTTTTCACAATTTTGTTATTTGCACACAGAGCAGAGCCACCCACACCTGTGCAAATCACATGTGTGTGTTTCACCAGAAGAATTGAATTTTACAGATTGCATTTGCATCCTTTCCCCTTGTTCCACTCACCAAATAATTAAAACTCCAAGCACGTTTGCTGATTTTCCTTTGTGTCGCTCCCTTTTGTTTGTTTTCTGGCATTCAATATTGTAATTTCGATATTTCAACGGTTTTCACTTTTAGCTTTTTATCCACTTTTCTTCCTCAAATGCTTCGTTTGCTCTTTTTTCGTTTCGGTTTTATCGCACACTCACAACTCCACGCACATTTCACCCAAAAGCACGACTTTGTCGCAATTAAATTATTTATTTTATTTGTCGCATTAAACTTAATTAAAACGTATTTTATTCACGTCGCCCTTTCGATCGCGATCACAAAACAGCAGTGTGACCAGATTTGATCACTCGGAAAATACCACACAGGTCAGAAAAGAAATCACAAAATATTTGTTACCGGATAAAGTTTTATTTTTTTACTATTTGGTGAGTATTTTTTTAATTATACTCCATTAAACTTAAGAAGCAGTGACCATTTTAAAATTACAAAGCAAATTAAAGTTAGTACGTTTTGAGTGAGTTATTATTTGTTTTTTCTAATAAATAAAAACATATTAATTTTAATGTAATGTTCTGGCGCCAATTCAGTTGGTATTATAATAGTGTGGTATTTTCTAACATGTCGAAATTATGTAGTGTTGGGCAACTATATTGTGTGTCAGTCCTGCAAAGCACTACAATCTCGTTTGATTTCTAAGTTGACATTCGAAATTGGTTTTCAATAATTTTCAATTTGATCAACTCAACTCGGAAATGAAGACCACTCCAAAGAAAAAGGAGATGTCCCTACGCCTGCGAGAGTCGCGCAGGGAGGAGCAGAAGACGGAGCGAAGCCATCAACCGCTGGACGACGATGCGGAGTCGGATTTGCCTATTCGGGGTCGACCCTCTAAGAAGCTCCTGCTCCAGCAACAGCAGCAGCGCCATTACCAGGTAAAGCCGGATCCGGAGATCAGGGCAGTCACTATGGGAGCGACCGCGAAGCCTTCAACTTCCGCAGATGCAATAGTTGATGGAGGGAGTGGAGGGCGCATCAAGGCTAGGCGAATGCTCTACAAGAAGAGCGTTAGCGGTATTGGATCAACTCAAAAGGCTCCCGGCGAGTCCTACGTGATGCGCCTGTTCGAGCGTAGTTTAGATCTCTCTAAATACCAAGATGGCACTCCATTGTATCCCATTTGCCGTGCCTGGATGGCAAATCAGCCAAGAAATCCCGCCGTGGCCGCCTTTCAAACAGAGGGGACTGTTCCTGGTACCAAACGCGAAGACAATGGCAAAGAGATCATTTCTAAATTAAAAAGCGGTGAGATGAAGACGCTCACACACCTGCCCCGCAGCCAAAGCCCACGGATTTGCCTGTCATCCCCGCCACACGTTTGGAGTTTAGTCAGGAAGAAAAGAAACGGGAAAAGGCTCTAGAGGGTGCCAGTGCTTTCGATCTGCTTGCCTCCAAAATGTGACTCGTTGGAAGAAGGTGCGCGGACATTGGTTAAGACATGCCTATAAATACGACAAGGGAGCGCTATGAAGATATTGATCAGATTATGGACCTGTTGTGCAAGAACAAATGATGCACGAAAAGGAATCTGAAAAGGGAACGGAAAACGAACAATGCTGATTATTAAAAGAGGCATATTATAATGATCATACCCGATTCTGTTACCATTAACTTGAATAAATCCTTATTTGTATGCATATATTATCTTCCATTTTTATGTATTAAATATAATTTGATTTTTTTAATTATATATTTCTTTGTGCATATATTAATTTAGACCTTTAACGAAACTTGTACTTAATTATTATTAAAATAGAACGAAAGGCCGTAAAAAACAGTGGCCAAGGGGAACCTCTAATGAATTTTACAAAAAAGGTGAATAAAACACGATCTATTGTCATTGACTTGAATAAATGTTTATTTGTATGCGTAGAAGATGCGTTACCATTGCGGTTAAATTAGTTCTAGTTTAGAGCTGGGTTTTGAGTTATCATATTTTTTTTCGGTTGGCAAATGCTGCTGGATTGTTCTGGTTCCGATTTTGGTGTTCTTCGTCTCGACGTCCGTGCGCCGGTCCGAAACCCTCTTGATTTTGTTGGGGGTATACACAACAACGGGCGGCCTGGTTGCTTATTCGACCTTGAGCAGCTCCCATCATCAAAGGTGAGGGGGGAGTTGGGCGGAATGACACCGGGGTGGCCACGACTGCCATAGGCGTAGTCCGGCGAGCAGACCAACTTGGCGCGCTGGCCTACGCTCAACTGGGCGACTCCCTCGTCCCAACCGCGAATGACCTCGCCCTTGCCAATGGTGAACTTGAAGGGCTTGTTGTGCGGTCGCGCGACGAATCGAACTAGTTGGTTGAATATAACCCTTCATTAGCTTGGGAATTCCATGACCAAGAAGATTACTCACCTTGGTGCCGTCGTCCAGGGTGCGGTGTAATGCACCGTGACCTTTTGCCCATTCTTCGGGAAAGTGCTGCCTGCGGGGATAGAATACAAAAATTTATATGTGTAAGCGAGACGACCATATTGTCAAGGTTAATTTTCCGACTTGTGCATCGCACATTATGCACTTCTTAGGTTAGAAATGCCGGTAATTAACTGCAGTTCAAGAGGATTTCAATCCTTTAATCTTGTACTTACCATCACCAGGAGCAATTGGAACTACTTGTACGCCCATTTTGATTAGTTTTTTCTGGCAAAATCCCGAGCGGAAAATAAGCACGTTGATTTCAGTTCGTCTCGTCGCCGAATGACAGCTAGTGGTAGACGATAGGCAGTTGGCGGAAACTATCGCTTAAAGGTGTACAAATACGATAGTTCGTCATTTAATCATTTTCGTAAAGGGTTATCCATTTAATCACTGAGAAGATTGTAATTTAAAGGGATGGAGTTGTAATTTTCCATTACTTAAAAACTTTAGGTATAATTCATTTGGACATTTCATGAAAATATTTCATTTACTATTTAATAGAAACACGATTAAAATATTTGGGCAAAGTTGGCAGCTCTGCTAGCCACTTAATGTTTAATCATATCGGTTATCGAACAACTTTGATTGGGCGGCACTTTTAAAAACGTATATTGCATGCCAATATATTTTGTAATATCGCCCATTAACGTTTATTATTAGTGTTTGAAAATGGTTATGGAAAACAAATTATATTAGAAAATAAGGAGTAGAACATAGAAAGAAACACGAAGTATTATGAAGTAAACAATAGCAAACAAGACTAAACAACTAAGCATTTAAAATTAAGCCCCGTCCAGAAGACGGTCAGGACATCGTCGACCCTGCTCAACGGCGCGAATCGATCCGCGAACATTGCAGCCCTGTACACGCTTACAAACCTAGTAGACCTTAGGGTCTTTAACCTTTTTTTTTCTCTACACTAGGCTAAGGTATAACCGTAGGAAACATCTGGGATCATCCGGACCCCGGGGCATACTGTTGTGCGCAATCACGCCACCGTTTTCTCTCTCCACAGCGATTATTCCACAAGTGCCCGACCCCAACCCTGGCAAGGCTGTAGCTTCTGGTATTCTGGAAGGTCCTAGGCGGCGTGTGTGATTTGTAAATAATAAATAACATTAAAATATTGGTAGCCCCATACCGGTTACTAAAACCCAAATGTGCCTGGCGCCACCTATTGGTAGGAGGCCATATCAGTAGCGGTAGATATTTGTGCTGTATTAATGTGACAGTAGTAGCAAATCGAAGCCTCACTTTTCTCATACGTCCAGAGGTCTTATACAAGGTTATGGGTTATTGAGATATAGGAGAATTCACTGTATTGACAAGAATTCTGATATATTATTCCAACTGGTCGCTGCCAAGGGATGAAAAAAATACGTAATAAGCAAGAAATACTGCTGGTTACATCAATGGGAAAAAAGATGATTTGTTGGGACAACAGATAGGCTCTTATAATTTCTTCAATCTATTTGACTCGATCAAATTAAAAAAATCAGTGGTTTCATAATTTCATCGTAGTATAAGCTCCTTTAACTCAATCTTTCGTCATATGTCAATTACGCTGATAATATTTATTTTATGTTAAGAAAATGTTTTCATTTCTCACTTTTGCGTTACTGCGAATTCTACAATTGTTGATAACCTAACATAACAAGGCCGATGATTGGCAAATTCAATTTACTAGCATAGGCGCGCAGAAAAATTTACTACTCACGTTTTTGTATTTCTAAGAGTCTTTAAAGCTTGAACCAGTGTGCCTTTTATTCGATTGTAAATTTAATGTTGATAAGAAGTAAAGAGGGCCGTAATAAGCTAATGCTAATTACTGTCAGGAGGATCGATTATAAACTTAGTATGGAATGAGTTCACTCATTATACCCGTTACTCGTAGATTCGTTGAAAAGTATGTAACAGGTAGAAGGAAGCGTTTCCGACCCTATATAGTATATATATTCTTGATCAGGATGAATAGCGAAGACGATTGAGCCATGTCCGTCTGTCTGTCCGTATGAACGCTGAGATCTCAGGAACTATAAGAGATACAAAGTTGAGATTAACCATGAAGATTCTTGAGGTCCCTACGCAGCGCAAGTTTATTACAACATCATGTCACGCCCACTCTAACCCCCACCAATCGCGAAAAACTAAAATCGCTGAAATCTCAGGAACTATTGGAGTTAGAAAGTTGAAATTAAGTATGTATAATCTTTAGATGCCAGCGCATCTTATAGTGTTACCACTATTAGGAAACACCCACTCTTACGCCCACCAAGCTCAAAAGACGCATTTTCGCATGTTGTAGAAAAGCTAATATCTCGCTAACTATAGGGAAGTTAGGATTAGGCATGTAGGTTTTTATGATGCCCCCAATGCGAATTGTTTTTTTCCGAGCAAGCCACGCCCACTATAACGCCCACAACACCCGGAAAACCAAAAATGCAAATATCTATAAGAGTTACAGTTTTGCTTAAGAATACGTATTTAAGAGATGCCTCTGCAACTTTTCACAAGTTTTTATCCACCCACGCCCACTCTAACGCCCACAAACCGCGAAAAAGTGTGACGTCTATAATATTATTATGAATGCCTTCGTTTGATGTTGTATAACTTATTTCTGTTAATATCTATCGATCTGCTAAAGATTTTTTAAACCGGAACATTATTTCGCTATTTATAAAGAAATTAAGGTTCTAAGGTCTCACATGGGCAGTGACGTCACTATAAGCATACTCAACTTACTTCCTCTGACAATAGGTGGCGCCTCGTGAATTTCCACTAGCAAAATAATATTTTAAAATTTTGTAAAACAGTAACGGGTATCTTATAGTCGCGGCACTCGCCTATAGCGTTTCCTCTTGTTTTTGAAAAGATTTATTCAGTGTCCAAATGGATTATTTAAAAGGTGGTCGTGTGAAAAATAAAAGGTGTAGTAAATACAGCGATGAATTCTAGCAAACCCTCTAATCAGTCAAGAGCTTCAAAGCAATATATTGCAATAGCTCAAAATAGTTCCTAACAATAGGGCACTGAACTTTCGATTTTTAGATTCGTCAGAAGGCGTACGTTAACCCATCTGGTTGCAAATTTATTTTCGATTGCCCAATAGTAGTAAACTGAGTGATAAGCAATCAAAAAGATTTGGCAAGATAATCACAAATATATAAAAGCAAAGAAATTCGTTGCAGAGTGAAGCTAATGATGAGTTCCAACACAAAGGAAGGAATCCGGATTCGCATTATGAGACTGGAGGACTATGAAAAGGTAAAATCCTTTATGAAGGAAGAGTACTTCACGGCGGAGCCCTTGTGCCAATCCAGTGGTGAACCCGTTCATCTCCAAAACGAGAAGGAGAACGACGCGATTAACCTCTCGATGATTGCCCAGGGTACTTGTCTCTTGGCCCTCGACGAGAGCGATGATGACCAAATTGTGGGCTTCGTCCTGGCAGGAGCCGAAACTTCCGAGGATGTGGAAAGGAGCCGCCTGGTGGCCGAGTCACTCGAGAATAACGCTTGGGGTCGTATCTATGCCATAATCATCAAGGCCGAATGCGAAGCCAATATTTTCAAGCGGTACGGAATCTCGAAAGTACTTTATTCCCACGTCACCAGTGTAGCCACCTCGATGAGGGACAAGGGACTGGGTTCCCGACTTGCCGCCACTCTAATAAACTTAGGCCGGTCCAAGGGATTCCCCGCCATGGTGGCCTACTGCACCAGCTTTTACTCTGCTCGCCAGAAGGAGGCCCTGGGAATGGAGTGCATACATTCCATGGACTATGCCGACTACAAGGACGACCGGGGACGAGTGATCTTCGCGCCGGCAGCTCCCAATATATCGTTGCGAGTAATGGCCATAAAATTTTGACAGGAATTTCACTTAAAATTTTTTAAGGTGTATACACTATTCCTGTTGCTATCTTTTATTATTATAAATAATTATTTTAAACATCAATTAATTACACTTTTCGAGTTGCATAATATAGCTAATTATTCTGCAAATAATACAAAAAGAAAACAATTTTAAAAGTCAAAGTTTGCTGGCCAAGACGCGGACATGGGTATGGGGAGCAGGTGGATTATATACAGGACGGCCCTGATTGTCCTTGTACTCGGCATAGGCCTGTGAGTGAATGACCTCCATACCCAAGCCTTCCACTGCTTGCTTAGCGGAGTAGTAACTGGTGCTGCTGCCGATCAGCAGCGGGAATCCGAGAGACGACCCAATTTCATGGGGTGACGGCGAGGTGGGACAGAACACCTTTGCCCCTCATTGATTCGTGAACAGAGACTGCTATTAGGTTGAGATATATGGGAACTTGGCAGCGTTCGAATATGTTGGCATCCCGTTCGATTTTTGGCTATCATCTTCCGACTTCGACCCAAGGCATTATCCTCGATTTCCTCGGCTTCCCTTGTGCTGTTTAGCCAATATAGAGGGATCCATTTTTCTCGGCAAGGCTCATGCCGATAAGAAGTCCTGTATTGTCGTCGAATGCTACTAGGGAGAGTCCTTGGTTGATTACCGAAATGTATTCCCTGTCAACTTCTTCCTCATTTAATAGATGAATTTGTTCTTCCAGTCCAATTCCCATGGGCTCGTCGTAATGGAAGTAATCCCGCATGAAAGGCTTAACAATTCCATAGTCGCTCTCCTCCATGAGGCGTATGGTTATTCCGTTTTTGACTGAGAATCATTTTGTGAATTATACACTCTGGCAGTAGGGAACTGCCTATTTTTCATAGTTGGAGGGACCTTTTAAAGAAACCCAAACGCGTTATCAACAAAAATCAGACGGAGCTCTTTATAGGCTTTCCCAAGGCTATCTGCAAAAATCTTCTTTTTATTTTGCACTCGCCTGGAGGCTTAATATTAACCGATATCTTATCTCAAAATGTCTTAAGAAGTAATAAAAATTGCTTAGATTAAGCTAATCTTCAATGATTTGACCTTGATGATGACCTTGACATTTTCTTTGTTAAGTTCAATGCCCTACTTAACGGCCCGCGGAAAAGATCTGCTAAGATTTTAAATCAATGCTTTATCAGTATTAAAAGTCTTGCAATCAAGGGCGATGCATCGGCTTAAATTGTAGCATGCTTATTGGGATCCATTGTCCTGAATTGAATATCACGAAAGCGATGGCTTTCCTTTAAATTTTTCTTCAAATACCAGCTGCAAACACTTGCCAGAATAGGATAGGGAAAAAGTTAATTTTTTTCGAAAAATTTCAGTTGAATTCCTTTTTTTTATAATTGACACTTGGGAAATCTAAATATATAATTTTTTAGTAAAATCAATAATACGTTTCTGCTTCCAGTATTTTTCATATAAATTCGAATCATATTAAGAGCTAATAAGAACGATTAAAAAATTATCCACTTACATAGATTAAAAATATTTAACGCCGCGCTTAATTCGAAATTCAGCGTTGAGTGCTGCCAGACTATTCAGACATTATGCGGTATATTTGCCAAAAAATAGGGTCTAATCTACTTGTAAACTGCAGTTTCGTTTTGTTCTTCGACATATTAATATATTTAATATAAATATATTTTAGAAAATCACATTTCCGGAGCTCTAAGGTAGGCTTACACTTCCAAAAGCAACAAGAAGCGAACAAAAATGAGGGCCACGCGGAACTGATTGAGGTCGAGGGCAAACGCCAGAAACCCACCTTTACCATAGTTGCACCTAGAATAGCACTCATTTCAAGCAGAATGCGGATGCCCCCATACAGATCCGGAACCAGCAGCAACTGAAGGAAATTGTTCGGTTGACAACGAGAATAATGATCAGGAGCCTTTGAAGCTGAGCGGAGGCAGAAGCCAATGACGCCAGTTGCACATTATGTGGGGCCGCCAAGGTCTCGGCTCTTTTGGATCTTCGCTCAATCACGATGCAGCGCCGGCTGAGTCGTGACTGGAAGATCCATGTGAGTAATACAAACATTATCCCATTCAGCTGGCCATATAAAATTTCTACATTTGCTATAATTTTTAGTCCATGTTATTCGATCCATTTGAAGGCCTTTGTGTGGAGTGCGTTGCAAGTTAAATAAACATGCACTCGGAAGTCACTGATCCCTTGATGCAACGCATGCAACGATTGCAGCGTTCCGGGGAGAAATTACCACAGTGACCACTACCACAAACCTTCACCAACCCAAATATAGTCCACCCATTGCTGATGCGAAGTGTCCAACCACACTGAGAGAGAGCCAAGAGGAGGTACCCCAAAACAGGCCGAGTATTCAGGTCACGTTCGTCTTGTTCCGTGCTGGAAGTCTACCTTGCTCAGCAGCCCTTTTCCCCCAGTCGGCTAAGGAGTCTGAGGAGAAGCATACGGAAGGTTGGAAGTGGCGAACACGGCTGGAGTGTCACCGAATGTGACGTGCATTTCGGGCGGGATATTACGCCCAGCACTTCGCCATTTGCAAATTCGACGATCACAAACCCGTCCGCCGCGCGCCAAAGTGCCGGAATGCTGAACGAGGCCAGTTGAGGAGACGTCTTCCGGGAGTCAACCGCTCGTCACGCACTTAATACTGCCGACACTGCGTGACGTAAGAGTTTGACTCAAATGGTTGAAAGCGACACCATGAACGGTCCACATCAGCAGCGGGTATCCTCGCGATCTTTTTGGCGATGCCCAAAGTTACACACCAAGCAATGAATGGGACCACATCATGCAATCTGCCAGGCCACAGGAGGTTAGTAGAAAATGTTGGTTTACCTTGATAAATATTTATTTTAACTTATTATCCCAATTAGGCCTAATACTTCTACAACAGGGCGGAAACAGGGCAGACCGTTCAGCCTTCGGACCCCAAAGGCTCGTTCCACACCCGGTCTCGTTCACGGGCCTGCTCAGAAGCCTGGGATAAGTACAATATGGATGATCAGGACGATGAAATCGAAGAGAACGAAAGCGATGAAGAGGCTGAGGAAGAGGGCGACGATGACCAGGAGGACGCCAGGTAATAATACGCCGCATGACTTTCACCAGACTGGATCGAAACCACAGCCGCAGCAATAGCAACAGTGCTGGAAATCTCCCCACTTCCTGTACGAGATGACTACGGACTGGTTGAACGCACATGACCACCGACAAGAGCACGGTAGGGTTTTTCTCATTTAAGCTTATTTCTTTGTATAAACATTCTTGCTTTTTAATGACAGACCTCTACCTACTCGATCTGCTGAAGACCCAGGTGCGTTTAAAATCTTTTTGCCTTACTTTTTACCTGTGGCTATCAGATGGACACCCTGGTGGCTCTAATGAAGCACGATTACATGGAGCACTGGAAGATGGCTGAGTTCTACTGCCACAAGTGCGGGAGATTTTTACAAAAAGTAAGTTTCACTATAAACAACTAAAATAACACATAATCCAGAACAGCTACCTAGTAATAACGAACGCCATTCGTTTGCTTTTGCAGGGTCTTTCTGGACTACCATTTGCACCTACAGAACCACGGCTTCCACGTCTGCCCAAGTGCCCGCGAAGAGTTCGAATTGCAGCATCAGCTGGACCGCCACTTCCAGCTCCAAGAAGGGTATAAACTATCACTGGAACTTCTGTCGGCTGGAGTTTCTCAGCGAGGCCAAGCTGCTGGCACACTGCAAACCCGGGGACACAGTCCCAACGACGAGCCCTGATTAGTATCGATCGGTCGCTTTACGATTGTCAACTCGCCATGTGGGTCTCAGTCAGCGGATCATTCTCGTATATCGAAGACCGTAAGTGAGAGGAGCGGGAGTTTATGGAGACTCCAAGATTATGCCACCAAGGAAGCCCGTGCACTAAGCCCCCAACATAAACCTTTCCGTTTTGCACATTGGTATTTGAGATTTCGATGAGCGGAACTGAATTGCCGTCGGTTGTCACTGAATTCATGATATACTATCTGACATTGCAATCTTAATGAAGATTAGCCATATTTTATTGGGAAACTATCGATTATAAAATTCAAAAATATATTTTTCTATACAAAATTGGTGTTGTCGTGAGAAACTTAGAGTTGGTTTTTGATACTCCAGTCAGTTCAATTCGTTCTTCGCTGATCTTTAACAGAGTAAGTTAGTGTTTGGGATAATTTAAATTGCAAAGCACAATTTGGAAATACTTAAAACTGGATCTAGAATTCGCACGTGTGGACTATGAGGCTGGTGTACAAGAGTTACTCTTACTAATATTTAACATTGTCGACCGTAAGACTATAGAAGTATATATGTAGGTGTTTATAATTAAAGAGCCATTGCATTGCTCCCAGCGATAAAAGTTTTCATTGTTTTTTGTTTTTGTTTGTTTTATTATAAATAGTTTAGTTTAAGTGGTTACGTTTAGGTTGGTGGGCTTAGAACTAATCAATTGCCTGAAACTTACAGCGTTTTAATCTATGATCACGATCGTATTTAAGTTTAGTTTGTAATTTTATTTTAATGCGTGCTCTTTTACCGTGGTAATGTTTGAGTCGGTACACCGGTCTCATAAATTCAACCCAGGACGATTTAATATACATATATCTCGCTACAATAGGATAAAACATGGAGGTTAAATAAAGATACGCTTATTTGAGGAGTTCGTATCTAAGTGGGACCACTTCTAACTTCTCCAACTCTTCGCGCTTCGAAAATCATACAAATTAAGGCCACGTACATGCGATTTCACATACTGGCTGTTATAAATAACTAAAGCATAATTTTTAAAACAAATCACTGGCATTTAACAAAGTTGTACATGGTGTAGCCAACTTGCAACCATTTCAGCTGGGAGCCTCGTTTGTCTCTGGCTTTAGCTAGCTCATCCACGCCCTCTGATCCTAGCTCTTCAGTCTTAAGTGTAAGTCAGGCTTTATATCTCTA